GTGCCACAAGCCCTTTCCTTTCCACCTGCAGCTTTAAAGTCTGCAGGAGAAGGGAAGAAGTGGAGTTGTCATGAGTGTGGCCAGGGCAGCCACAAGAACAGCTAGGAGAGGCCTCTGGAGGACAATTTTTTTGAAATAGCAGCAGTGGAACATCCACACTAACGCTATTTTGAAAAAACAATTTCAGAATAAGTGTTACAGTCCTCATGACAAACAGAAGTTATTATTTCAAAATAACCAGCCCATGGACTTGTTATTTCAAAATAACTCCCTAGTGCAGATCAGAGCTGAGAGGACATAGACAGCTTTGGATACAGACCTTTTTGTAAGAATGGTTTAAGGCATGTTCTGTATTAAAGCATTTTTTATTATAACTTTAAACACTTATTTCCAAAGATGTAAAAATGCAGATTATAGTAAAGTTCATAAATTCACTTGTGGAGTATAGAAGGTAACAACCTTTGGGGACATTATTTTTTCTCTGTAGTTGTGATACTACATATGAAATCCTTCTTATCGATCCATGGGAAATTGCAAATTCCTTTTTCTGGTTTAAGCCTGCTTCAAGAGGGTTCTGTGTGGCTCATTAGATGTTAATGAATTTTCAGTATCCTAACAATGGTTGGTTTTTCCTTCTTGATGGCAAACCCTATTCTCTCACCAAATAACTGATCCAAATCCCTTTGAAATCAATAGAAAGACTTTCAATTATTTCTCTGGGCTTTGGATCAAGCGTAGACGTGCCTGAGTCCAAAAATTTTCCGTCTGAGTCAAATTTTCCCCAAGTTCTGGAATGTTCAGATCTGGGACTGTTGGCTTGGGCCCCCTTCTAACTCTAGTGGAAACTAGGGAAAACAACACCCCCAAAATACAAACGTGAGATAAAAAGAAAAACAATAACAGTTTTTGTAAAACAAAAGGAATTATTTCTGACATCAGTAGCTGAAACTTTACTGTGGCATAGAGCTCCTAATTTGCTGTGAGCATTATATTGCTATAGGTGTTTTTATTCACAGTTCTCTTGTGCTTTTTTGTGACAGCTGCAACATTACATCATCATAGTTTTCCTTAGTTTTCATCTCATGTCATTCAAATGGATCTTGCAAGTGGGTGGCAGCATATGTAATAGAGAGCTGAAAAAAAAAGGAAGCCTGCCTCCAGTTCTGACTCTGAAATTGAATCTGTATCTTTGGACAGATCGTATAATCTCTCCTTTTTTTAGACTCCCCATCTGTAAAAGGGGAGAACAACTGTCTTCCTTACAAGGATGTTAGATGTCTGAAAATTTCCTCTAGTGGACATTTTACAAATGCTGGACAGATCCTCAGGTGCTGAGAATGGGCATAGCTCCATTGTTGATAGCATTATGCCCATCTACGCCAGCGGAGAATCTGGCCTGTTAAGTATTATTATTTTATAGTTCAGTTGGTAGCAAAGAGGATTGAATTGGAAAGCTATCTGCATGTGGACTCAGGCATGCCGAAAGACTGCTCAGAACTATCATAAGAACATAAGAACAGCTGTACTGGGTCAGACCAAAGGTCCATCTAGCCCAGTAGCCTGTCTGCCGACAGTGGCCAGCAACAGGTGCCCCAGAGAGGGTGGACCGAAGACAATGATCAAGCAATTTGTCTCCTGCCATCCTTCTCCAGCCTCTGACAAACACAGGCCAGGGGCACCATTCCTATCCCCTGGCTAATAGACTTTTATGGACCTAACCTCCATGAAATTATCTAGCTTCTCTTTAAACTCTGTTATAGTCCTAGCCTTCACAGCCTCCTCTGGCAAGGAGTTCCACAGGTTTATCAGCAGCAACCATTCCAGCAAGCGGTCAGTCAGCCACAACAGATAATCTGTGATCAATCTGCCCAACAACCACAACAGCAGCAGGAGTTACAATACATGGTCGCCATCTGCTGGGGTAGGACTGAACAGCTTTGATCCATTATGGCCCTCATTCCTATCAGACTTACGAAAATGGGGCTTGCTGACCACTCTCCAAGGCATTCCTCTAAACCTTCAAGCAGGTTACCACAACAGCCTGGTGGCCCTCAAACAATATGCAGTTTTACTAGCCGAGTACTTAGCCAGATCAGTGCAAATGGTGGATAGCTCTTTAGATCCTTCACAGCCTGACTTTACGTTCAGGTCAATGCAGCAATCCTTGGACATATCATAAGACATTATGGCAATATTTACAGGAGGAATGATGGTATCTGTGGTGAATAAGCCCCTGGTTGCTGAAAAGCTACATAGTTCAGACTTCAACTGAGGACAGGAACCCAGTTGGCAAAGACAATTTCATTTGAACAGTATACATAGATACTGCCCCTTGATGGGGGAAAGGTGACCCCATAATGACTATACTAACACATACCTGGATGATACCATATTCTATAGCTGAACATGGGAAAACCACTTACAACATCTAACTTCCATACTCCAGTACCTCAAAGCAGCCAGTCGGATGGCAAATCCTACACATATTAATAAACAGGGAGCTTTTGTGTGTCACACAGAGAAAGATGTGGTTATAGTGTATTCAGTCTTTGGGGCCCAATTCTGTTGTGAATAACAGTCCCGCACTGAAAGAAAGGAAGGATACATTTGTATGAAAGTTGCTGTGTCAAATTCAGTATATTATTTCTGTTCATAACTTGAATTTATGCATAATCGATAGAGTACTTGAAAGTGGGGGTCCATTGTATAGACATAAAATAAGCAAAGTCCCTATCCTAAAGTGCAGATACTAATATACTTAGTTTAAAAGCTCTTTGGAGCAGGAACTTTATAGACATGAATAATCCTAAGTTAATTGCACGTTTAATAGCTTCCTAAATCAAGACCACCATTTGTTTTCTACATATCCCTGGCTATCAGTTCATGCAGACAATGTTTTTTGGTAGGTGGTTGAAAGCCTTCAGTGTTACCAGAGCTATGATCTCCAGAACTCCAGTATGACTCTTCCTCTGGCATGTGTAGGAAAAAGGGATTCGAATCAGCACTTGCATTATTTTCTTTCAGGAATCGACATTTGCAGTGCACGGTAGCCAAGAACTGTTTCAGTCAATAAAATGTGCCCTTGATAATTCTCTTGCTTCAGATCTCTAATCTCACTTTAATTAGTGTTGTACACAACAGCTCCAATCAATGTAAGTCAGCAGCAAACATTACCATCTGTATTCATCATTAGCATTAACCAGCATGGTAATCTGCAGTTTTAGATTAATGCATGAGCACATGGGACTCTAGTGTTTGTTCAGAAACAAATACCTCTTTCTTTTCCTTCCATCATTTAGCATTTGGAATCTATCATTCCTTCTGCCTGAGAACTTTCCAAAGATGAAGCATTTCCATCACATCCATTGTAATTTGTTTCACTTGTAGAGAAGAGCATCATGTTCATTCTCTGCTTCACAAAATGATGTTGTGTGTTTGGAGATTAATTGTGGATGATTAATTTTGGATGGATTCAGGATCTATTGTGTGTAACCAATATTAGGCATTGTTGCCTGCTCTGTGGACAGGACTAGAAGGTAGTTACAGCCTTTAATATCAAGGTATATTATTATATTTAATGGCTTGTTCATAAAATGCTTTTAATACATGTGATCACTCATGGCATTCAGTAAAAGTCAGAGTTTGGCTTCCTGATGCATCATCTTCTTAAGCCAATTAGAAACAGGTTATTGGTTTAAAACTTGACAGTGAGGATGCTGCCATTTCTCCAGATACGATTTTCTATGAATTTCTCAAGGAAAGCAAGACTTCATTCATTCCTTAGCTATCAGCATCTGCTGTTTGGATTGATGTAGTTCTTGATTGTAGGTTTATACTGCAGAGCATCAGTTGACCAACTGCTGGCCAAGAGCCCTTGAAAGACCATATATTTAATTAATTTGTTGCATTCCAGTTGGGCACTGTTTGTGCTGAGTAAGCTTTTTAAAGGATGTCTGCATCTTTACTGGGTATTTGCTTCTGCAGTAAAAGGATGCAAGTGTTATCCATGCTCAAAGTGCATTGAAAACAGAAGAGACAAGTGAAATTAGCACCACAGATCACATAACATTTAGTGAAATAATGCTAGCATTTGTATTGTCTTCACCCATCTAAGGTGAATAACTGGAGTTGAGCTAGATAAAAGAAGTCTCTACAGTAGTCACTTTTCTAAAGATGCAGGATGCACAACTCCTTAAGAGAAGATACTATTTTAAATGTATTTTCTTCCTTACATAATATCATCCAGAACAAGTGTGTGCAGCTGTTAAATGATTATGGTTGAACAGATGCAACCTAAGGCTACACAGCAACAACTGTGACAATTCATTTTTTAAAAAAAAATTCTTTTCACTAGAGGAAGTAGCCTAGAGTGTTTTAAATCTACCAATAACGCTGCTATTACCGTTCTATGCAATTGCACAACAATGGGCAACAATTATTTGTGTTAAATCCATTATAGGAAAATGTTTACTAATAAAGATTTCTATCTTTTTTTTCTAATAGTAGGAGACATAAATTAGTGCATACCCCTTTGGACCACAATAAGTTCAGAATTCTGCATTTAGGAATTATAATCAGATTTGTTTTCCACAGAAGAAGAAATATTCGTTCCATTTTATTGGGTTCTTTGAGCTGTATTGTACTAAAAGAAACCTTTCAGATTTGTTTTCCACTGGAAAAAAATGATTGCTAGATCCCACAGCTGGATTCATGGTGACAGACCCCTGCATTTACATGGAGCCCTATCAACGTCAATGAGGCGGCATGCAGATACAAACACCCTATTCACACCTCTGAAACTCTCCAATGAATGCATAAAAATTATGAAATAAAATAGGCAATAAGGTACTTTACTAATTGAGTTAAATTAGGAAGAAGTAATTCTTATGATCCCTATTGAAAGGAATCAGAGGGACTTAAAATACAAGAAACCGTGCAGTAGTAAGTGCTGGCATGATTGGTATAATTGCCTGTTTTCACACCCTTATTTTCCTTCCCAGAGCCATGTTTGACTATGACAAAAGTAAAGACAGTGGCCTTCCAAGTCAAGGACTCAGTTTCAAATTCGGAGACATCCTCCATGTTATCAACGCCTCTGATGATGAGTGGTGGCAGGCGAGGAGGGTCACTCAGGAAGGGGACAGCGAAGAGATGGGAGTTATACCCAGCAAAAGAAGGTATGTGCAGTTGTTGATTTTCTACTTCATTTGGCAACAATGTGCAAAAATTTGAGTTTTATTCAAAAAATAATGTGCACTAATCTAATAAGATATAGGCGAGAGTACAAAAAAAGAGCCATAAGAATTATTCAAGGGCTGGAAAAAGTGTCTTAAAGAACTCAATCTGTTCAGCTTATCAAAAAGAAGATCCAAAAGTGACTTGATTACGTTATATACATACCTTTTGAGCAGAACATACAGATAATAAAAGTGTCTAGCAGAGAAAGGATAATCAGAACTAGTGACTGGAAGTTAAAGCCAGACAAATAGATATTAGTTGGTACCTTTGTTGATAAGGTAGAGGTCAAAAACTGAAGAGGCATGAAGAAGAATGAATTCTGTTGAAACCAGATTTCTCTTTTGGAATATTACTTCCAACCAGATATAAACCTTCTATCCAAAGTGATTTCCATTCTAGAGTTAATAAAAATGGTTGTACATATTTGTTATAGTGATAAATTGGATCACAGGTGGCCTGCAAAGCACATGGTATTGGTCCACAGAGAACTGGCTGATCACAGCTGCTAATCCAACTATTTTTTTTGCCTTGTTAAACAAGGGAGGAGTTTTGGGGGTCTCAGGGGAGCAGCCATGTTTTCTGGGACACTACTAGCTTTTCATTCCATTTCCTAGACTATCAGGAAGTGAAGGGAAAGTACTTGAATTCTGTGCATGCCTCTCACTCTTGGCTGGTGAGCTCCCTTCAGCAGTTGGTGGTGCTCCCTGGTCATTTCCAGCCAATAGGAGCTGAGAGATTGGCTGGGTTCAGTTCCTATTGTCCGGTTGTTTCTGGCCTGAGGATTGGGTTGGGGACGGGTAGATCACATGAAGCTTCCCCCTTGCTCCAGAGAGTCACATGGAGCAGTCCTGCACTTAAAACAGTGGCTGTTGTGTGACTGAAGGTCCTAGCAGGGTGGTCCATATGCTGGATCCAGTGGCTTGGTGGGCTGGATTTGGCCCGCAAAGAGGTATCTTGCCCACCCTTGATTTGGGCAGAGTGGCAAGGGGTGCAAAATGACATGCGATCACAAAGGTAATCAGGAAATAGGTTGCGTAAGGTCTCGCAAGATGTAGCTTGACTTTGTAATGATGCAGGTATAGTTACTATACAGCACGTCCCCACTATAAGTCGCCCTGGTATGCATCCATTCCACACTAAAGATGTTGATGCTTGTAGGAACTGATGCGATATAAGTCTTCCCATTCCACACTCTTAAGTCATGCAAAAAAAAAACCACCCTGTTTGCGCAAATGGAAGTCAGCTGTGGGGGGAGGGGGGAATCCCTGCTTTCAGTTATTTCGCTATAATTCAAAGTTTTTTGGAATGTACCTTGGACTTATAGTGAGGACAACCAGTACTCTCTACCCCTCATACCACTGCATTTGCAGCAAATTGGAGATGTCTGCAAAAAACTGTAGAGCCTGCCTGCACCAATAGTTCCAAATTGAGATCACATTTTTCTCTCCAATAATTATTACTGGAAAAGACCAGCAAGTTCTGTGAGTGTACCTATATAAAAGCCTTGAAATCCAACAGTGACATCTTTCCCCTTTGTTGTTAGACTGTGGTATATTCAAAGGGAGAGGATCAGTGGCAGCAGTGTATTAGAGCCAGACCCATTTTACTGGCTGGCAGAGTCAGATGGTTGCATCAGCTAAAGGAAGAATGTATACTAGGCTCTTTTGTCTGCAGGCATGTGGAAATCTCAAAAATATTTCTCCTCCAATTTATAAACTTTTCAAGCATCCAGTCAGGAAACCATAAAGAATAGGTAACAAATCACATTTCCGAATCAAATGACAAATAGTCAAAATACATTCTTAAAGCAAATAGGTTGTGAGTAGCCCAAAGAATATAAATGGTGTTGGCTCTGCCTACTTTGATCACTTAGGCTGTGTCTAGACTACATCCCTCTTGCAACAGAGGAATGTAAATTACACACTTCAAAATTGCAAATGAAACAGGGATTTAAATATCCCACGCTTCATTTGCATAATTGCTTCATGGTGCTCTTTCGAAAAAGCACCATTTCAAAAGTAAAACTGCAATCTAGTAAAACGGCAGGCTTTTTCGAAAGATCCTGTAAACCTCATTTTTTGAAAAGTACAGGATCTTTAGATAAAGCCTGCCATTTTCAAAAGAACTGCATCTAGACCGCAGTTTTACTTTCGAAATGGTGCTTTTTCGAAAGAGCGCCATGATGCAATATGCAGATGAAGCGTGGGATATTTAAATTCCCGCTTCACTTCAAAGTGTCTAATTTACATCCCTCTGTTGAAAAAGGGATATAGCCTAGACACAGCCTTTGTCTTGGAGCTTTATCCTGGCAGTATCTACACTTTAAATCAGGAGAGGGCAATATATTTACTTACATCTCTGCAGATATGGGCAATTGTAGCTTTTGCTGGCCACGGATCATCGTTCTCAGACAGTGAGAACTACAGGAAATGGTGCAGACTAGGACACCACTTCCAGCAGCTCCCATTGGCCGGAAAGGGTGATCCACAGCCAATGAGATTGCAATTGTCTGTACCTGCGGAGGTGCAGGTAAATATAGCAATAGTGTCCGGCCAGGAGCTAACACTGTCAAATTGGATCCAGCCCTTTAGCTGATATTTACCCACTACTGCTCTAAATCTACATTCAAAAACTGTCTAGGCAATTGAGGATTTCCACTCTTGCTTTTGAATCTCCAAAGGACCTATCCTTTGATGATGTGGTTTACAAAGCACCACTCATTCCTTATGGAATCCCTCTCATTTTTAAAAAGCATTTTAAAGTGCCCTCTATCACCTCTCCAAAAAAAAATACCCCAAAACAATTTCTGTAGAATCATCACAATTGGCCCTATATTTCCCAAAGTTCCTTTCAATTCCTTTTTTTTCCTGCACTTGTGTCCCCTCATTTTGTATTTTGTGAGGGTATAATGTTATTCTGTTACGTTCTGAGCACTTTGACCCTTCTGATCATGTAAGTTGACCTCCTGTGTAATTAACATATTAGCTATAACAGAGAACAATAGAAAATAACCTTTATGCACTACTGAAGCCATTATCATGTTCCATAATAGTTCTTTACTCTAGTATATACTCTGGGAGCAATCAACATAATTAAGTTCTTACTTAGGGAACTGTCTATGATAATCACCCTCCAAGTGCCTGATTTACCATTTTTTCTACATTTTTGGAACAGAGCCATTCAAACAGGCACATTAAAGCATGAGCAAATAAGAAATGTCCAGTGCTAAATCAAGGCTTAGTTTTCTTTTCCCTATTATAATGGATGTGGTAGACCATAAAAGGATGTAATTTATAGCTACTAGAGAATCACTGTTCATTACTCACTCTGGGATGTTGTGTAGGCTTTCAGCTCTTAACTGTCAATCAATTACATGGAGTTAAGGTTTGTTATTTTACTCACAACTGAGAAGCTCTCCTTTAAGAGCAAACTTGGGTCCTGTAGCACTGTCCAACAGAGACAGGCAGTTTAATTCTGTACTGAACAATGAGGGTACCGTAGCTCTTGCCCGCCTATGTCTGTCTCATTCAGGGTCTGATCCTGTGAATTGATTAGATCTTTTAACTGCCATTGACTCCAGAAGAAATTGAAGGAGGGCTGCTTAATGCCTCGCAGCATTTGGTTGGGTTCTTAACTTATGATGGCTTTGGCTTTAAAGGAAGCGGTTTACTAATTCCTAAACGCAAAGGCTGTGTCTACATTGGCACCCCTTTCCGGAAAAGGGATGCTAATGTAGACTTCGGAATAGCAAAATCTGCGGGGATTTAAATATCCCCCGCGGCATTTGCATTTACATGGCTGCCGCTTTTTTCCGGCTTGGGGATAAGCCGGAGAAAAGCGCCAGTCTAGACGTGATTCTCCGGAAAATAAGCCCTTTTCCGGAGGATCTCTTATTCCTACTTTCAATCCCCTGTGGATTTTGCTATTCCGAAGTCTACATTAGCATCCCTTTTCCGGAAAGGGGTGCCAATGTAGACACAGCCAAAGTGTCTTCTATTTTGGCCAGAGGTCCAGAAATTCTCTTAGATACCAAGTTCTTGTCATCATGAAGGCGTATGTTTCTAATTATAGTTATAATGTACCCTCATGCGGGGTAGGTGAGTAGTGTGGCCCTTTTGTGGTAATGTGATGTTACTTTGACACTGATGACTTAGGTTCAGTGAAAGAGACCGTGAACCAGTTTTTAACCTGTTTCAATGCTAGAGTGATCATCAGTCAGGAACTATTATTCTTTAACATGCCAGAATGAAACACTGTGCGCCACACTGCTTTACACCCACATGAACCTCCATCAAAGTTAATCCTAAACAAGAGGGTAGAGTAACATCAGTAGACAGAGGGTACATGATTATTTATCTCAGACTCTGGAACTGATTCAGTCTCACATAGTATCAATCAGCCCAGAATTTGGCTTAAGGGTATGTTTAAAATATTAGAGTTAAATCAATTATGAATCTTGTTGGACTCCAGGTTATAATTTCTCTTATACAACTAGTGCGATAGATGACTTCATTTTACGTGGAAATGGTCACTTTAGGGACTAACAAAAAATATAGATAGTGTCACAAGCTTGGAAGAAGTTGGTTGTGCTTATGAACACTCATGATAGTATTTATATTTTTTGTTAGTCTCTAAGGCTTGCATCAATTATGAATCTTGTTGGACTCCAGGTTATAATTTCTCTTATACAACTAGTGCGATAGATGACTTCATTTTACGTGGAAATGGTCACTTTAGGGACTAACAAAAAATATAGATAGTGTCACAAGCTTGGAAGAAGTTGGTTGTGCTTATGAACACTCATGATAGTATTTATATTTTTTGTTAGTCTCTAAGGCTTGCCAGGTGCTCGGGGCTGGCCTGGCCCCGGGCACATGGCGCACGGGCGCTTGCGGGGAGAGCGCGCTTGGCGGGGGGGAGCGCCG